GGGGGAGAGAGGCAGAGGAGGTGGGGGATGGCAGAGAAATATGTGACATTACAAATCTGCCCCATGCACACAAGAACAGCCTGCTTGTTGCACAACATTCTAACTTGCATTATTACACAGTGACACTAACCTGCATGGTAACAAGAAGAAAGGGGAGCTTACATGTGCAATTCAAACGTGTGGATGTCGTCCCTATGTGCAAACAACCATGCAATATATGCAGGGGCGTAACTAGGAATCACAGGGCCCCATACAAAATTTTGGGGCCCCGTGATTGCTAGTTATGCCACTTGCAGAGCCCACCATAGACTCTCTATAGTGGGCTCTGTAGGGTCTCAGATGGGCTGCACACCTTACCTGTCAGCGTTGTCCGGCTCCGTGGTCGCTGGGCCCCCCCCCTCTTCTTCCGTCCCCGGGCTCCGCCTCCTATCGACGGGCCCGCCTCCTCTTACATCACTGGCCCCACCTGCTCTTAGGTCGCTGGCCAGTGATGTAAGAGGAGGTGGGGTTGCTCTTAGGCGGGCCCCACCTCTTCCTTCACTGCGGTGGTCCGAGAACTCGATGATTTCGAACTCTCGATCGAACACCGGTGAAACCGGCCTCTTCTGCCGCAGCTGCTGGCAGTCACTGACAGAGCCACTGCGGAGCTGTGTCAGTGACAGCCAGCACACTGATATGCAGGGCCGGTGCAAGGATTTTTGCTTACACAGGCAAAGGTGCATTTTTGCGCCGCCCCCCTCCTAAGTTTAAAGTTTTTCTAAGTTCACCTTTCTGACCAAGTTACACCCATATTTAGGATGAAACATGGATTGCCTCCTCCTCCTCCTCCTCCTCCCCCCTCTGCCACTTACCTGAATCACCGCAGGCTGGTGGGGTTTTTTTGAAAGTTGCATGACTGTACGTGGCTCCGCCCGCACAGCTGCATCTTCCGCCCACAGGAAGGAGGAACTACAAGTCCATCTGGCATCACGGTAGAGAGGCTCGTAGTTTCAGAGAAATACAAGCGTTTGCAGTTCCTGTTCGGTTTTCTGTGCAAAAGACCTTGCGGGATGAAATTTTTTTTAAATCCGCATGGATGCCGCTTGTTTGCGGCTATGAAATAGCTGCGAACTTGCCGAATCCTCTGGTTTATCGCGCTTGCACTATTTTTATAAATAAATAGTCATGGCAATGGTGTGAACGATGCACATTGAAGTGCATTGAATTCTCTGTTTAGAGCGGCTCCGCACGTATCCGTACAGCCAAGGTGTGAATGGAGCCTTAGATTTATTCAGCAGCGCGGCGCACTTTATTTTTATGTTTTTGGATGTTTATATACACTAAGCACAGCAGCTACTAGTATTCTGATAGGATTTAAATTTTTTTATCCACAGTGCTAATCTATGCAAGTGGCATAACCAGCAATCACGGGGCCCCATACAAAATGTTGCTATGGGGCCCTGTGATTTCTAGTTACGCCCCTGGTATACACTAATGCTTTTTACTTTAAATGAACATATATTTTGACATCAAGATGATAGATGATTCAGAACAACTGATAAGAATGGGATACAAAGTTCAAATATGTCCTATTCAGGCAAGAATTTGCACTTGTAGCTGTGGCCTTTGTGGACTTTTTCAAAGCAATCTCGTTTAATGCTACAGCAGTCTGCCATCATATTTTTGTCCCATCCCCCTTGACACCGCTGTTCAATCATCATGAGGTCTTGATGGAAGCGCTCTCCCTGTTCATCCCTAACAGCACCAAGGTTCTTGGGGAATTGATCAAGGTGACTATTCAGGAAATGGAGCTTGGCACTCATGTTGCACCCAGGATTGCAAAAAGCCAACAGCATTCTAGTAACGAAAACCTAATTTTATCTGTTATCTGCCTTTTTGTTACCAAGAAAGTTTTATATAACTGCTACAAAAGACAGCCATGCTGCCTCCTCATTCAGTTTGGTTATTCTGATTGTAGCTTCTGAGTTAGCAAGCAGAATTAAAAAGAATGTAATTAAAAGTAAAAAAATAAAGATAAAAAATAATTTAAAAATGTGTAAAAAAAAAAGAAAAAGAAAGAAGAAAAACCCCCACAGTGTGGGGTCCACCTCCCGATGCATACCAGGCTCTTTAGGTCTGCTAGGAATGTGAGGAGGGACCCCAATTTAAAAACAAAAAAATGCGTAGAGTTCCCCGTCAAAGTCAAACCAGGCCCTTTAGGTCTGGTAGGAATTTTAAGGAGGAACCCCACCTCCAAAAACAAGGAGCCCCCCCTACATTTCCTATCTAGACGCTTTTACCGCGAGCACAGGCCTAGCAAGGCAGGAAAGGGGGAAGGTGAGCGAGCCCCTCCCTGCCTTGTCAGGCCACATGCCCTCGGCACTGGGAGGGTGATTTTCCACGGTCTCCCCTGGAAAAGCACCCTGTCCCTGTGCCGATGGGGCGTTGGTTTTGCGGGTCTGCGGGCAGGGGGGCTTATTTGCATTGGGTTGCCCCGTTCATAACGGAGGCACCCAGATGCTGCCCCCCTTATGAAGAGTAAAGGGGTACTTGGATCCCTTCTCATTCACTAAAGGGTTTAATCAAAATTTAAATAAAGAGCACACACTTTTCAAAAAATCCTTCAATAGAAAAAAAAACACCACAAAGAATTTTGACAATTCCTTTATTTAAAAAAAATCCCAAAAATTGATGCAGTGATGTATTCCTAAGGTTAATCCCGACGTCCAGCGTTGTCCACAACAATGACAACTTGGCACAATAAAAAAAATGACGCCCGCAGACCCGACTGCACGTGATGTACTCCTGATGCAAAATGACAATCACCGGACATTTGTCCATTACCTGTCACATCCCGGACTGGCCGAATCAAAACAAATGGGCGGAGTCAGTCGTAATGCCACGGCTAGCTCCGTCCATTGTTGTCATTCAGTGACAGCACAGTATCCTCAAATAACCTGAGGATGCTGGGCTGTCAATGAATGACAACAACTAGGCGGAGCGAGCCGTGACATCATGGCTTTGACATCATGGCTTGCTCTGCCCAGTTGCCAGTTGTCATTTTCAGGGCAAATGGTCTGCTTCGACAGACCATTCTCCCCGCCTCGGCTGTGACTACGGCTCATCCGAGCCTAAGCATATGCGATCGGCTTGGCTGAGCCGTTCGCTTGCCTTTGGCTGCTGTGCGGGCTATAGTGAATAGCCCATACAGCAACCCTTTGATTCGACTTAACTGAAAGACTCAGACAGCCGAAGTGAGCCGAAGGATCAGCCAAGGCTATGGCTAGATCTTTCGGCTACTTAAGGGTCTATTCACGAAGCTGCCGAGGGCAGCCGAGTGAATGACCGTTCTGAAGTGACGTGAGCCGAACAGCAGTGAGTGAATAGCTGTAGCGAATAGAATAGTGAGCGGCATTCGGCTTGGCTGTTCTGCTCGGTCCCTCAGAGGTACCGAGCAGAACAGAAAAAGAGTGAAAAAAGTTAAAAAAGTAAATAGCAAACGATTGTGCGGAGCTAGCAGTGACAGCTAGCTATGCCCAATAGTTTCCCATTGTCCGGCGGCTCTGCTGCTGTAAAAAAAAAAAACGAAAAGAAAAAACTCTCCGGGAGCCTCCCGCTCCTGGCCGCCCAGGAGAGAAGGACTGATGTGTCTTTTTTTTTTCTTTATTCTGACACGATCGATGTCAGAATAGAAAAAAAAAAATCTTTCCCATTGAAAAGCATTGGGACATTACTATTGGCTATTTCAATTTGCAATAGCCAATAGTAAACTAGCATTGTTCCCGCCCTCTGCTGATGGACCTGATGGGGAACTGCAGCAGAGGGCTGGAACAATGCTAAGTGAATAACCCTCTTTATGTTGAAAAAATTCACCATCAGTACCTAATGCCTTCACAAACTGTTTCATCAAGAAAATCAAGTTAATCAGATAAATCTCTACAATCTAAATTATTCTAAATCAATCATAATAAGTCTGTGGTTAGAGTAGATGTAAGTCTAGTTCATAAGGTATCCCTAGAGTAAATATCAGTGGGTGTACTTTTTTTGCGAAAATCACAGGTTTCAAATTGCATGAAACATAGAGCATGTACAGGAAAACCAATTTCATATTTGAAATCATGTTTGAATCAGAAAATAAGAAAAACATTGTTCAGTGAATTGTTGAGTGATCAGTGTTATCCAATCAAATTTAGATGAAATAAGTAAACAGGAATTTGCTTTTCCCATGATTGGATAATTATTGAGAATATTCACACAATATTCGCTGTCTCTACATTTTTTGCCTACGTACCACATACTCATAAAATCCTAGGCAAGCTCTGTCCCTATCTACATTTTAATATTAGCTGTTTAACATTCTAAAAGGGGACACTCTTTCTTTCTGGAGCATAAAGTGGGAGGTCTAAGGCTGGGTCCACACTATCATACTGCAATAATGCAGGCATGTTAATATGTGTTGCTTTAGGGCAGCCCACCTATTTGAATGAGCTGCCTAACACACCAAAAAAGGTGCACAGAGCATATTTGATAATGCATGCTAATGGCATGCACGTTATACTGTGTTACAATACAAATGCATTGAGACAGTGCATTGGGGTGCCATTCATATCAAATGGCACCACATTGTACCAACATATGCACTGCATTACCTTTGCTTGCCTAGTTCAGGATCAAGTACAGTGAAAAAGCTTGAGCTTGAAATATTTACTTTTATCTGAACTAAAGAATTTATATTCAGTAGACTTTATATTGTACATTTTAAAACTAATAATGGTTCGGTAATGTTTTACATTTCTGCTGCTGAGTGGTCTGAAAGCACACAGACCTATGTCTCACATAATAAAGCTGTTACTTACCACAAGTGAGAGGGGCCGTTTCCAAGCAACAACACCAATCAGTCCTGACAAGAGTACCTAAGAAGAAAAGAGAAATGTCAGCAAGTCATTTCTTCTATCTACAGACACAAATATAAAACATAAACCATGTACAAACTTTTAATAACAAAGTACTGTATATTTAGACAGTAACTCCCTGATAAATACATGCAAATAAGTGCTGACAAACTGGCAAATCCAGCTCTGTGATACAATATGGATTTTTCAACATTAATTGATGGCAAAAAATGAATTGTAAAGGGGTTTCCTAGTACCAGGCATAACTAGATCCCCAGAACTGGCTTGGTTGTGTGCTTCAATCCTTGAGCCTCACTTGACCCCATTGCAGCCTCTTCTATGCCCCGCATGGAACCTTTTTATCACATGAAGGTTCCCTCACCTTAAATGGAAAGAATTGTCTCTATGCTCTACCACAGCCTATTTGTACTACTCCAGGGGCTGACTCCTAAGCTTTACAAATCCAGTATGCTTTGTACAGCAAACAACTAGAGAGTGGAGCTATCAGCCACCAAATAGCACTCTTTCACATTCTCATATCAACTTATGGGTCAGGTTTTGCCCCCAAGATCCTCTTGCACAATGACTGCCCAAGATAGATTCCCTCTTACAAGGGAAACCTTTTTAACCACATGCATGTTATGTAGCTTTGCATAGGTTTCTCTTGTAGGTACCGTTACAGGATAGTCTCTCTCACAAGGCAGACTCTCATGGTACATTCTTTCAAAGGGTGATCTCACAAGCTAGGACAGTCTCTCTCACAGGACATTCTTTCTCATATGGCACTGTCATTGAGTGATTTTTTTTTACAGGGTTCTCTAGCATGACACTATCATACAGCATTCTGTCATCAGAAAATCTTTTACATGTCACTGCAACCCAGGTCCATTCCACAGCCAGTGGTGGTGCTGCTAACAACTTCAATGCAAGGAGTGGTCAGCACTCCATTAGCAGTGCTTCATTAACTACTACTATTGTAGGTACTGGCCATTCCTTGCATTTCACATGGTACTGTTACAGAGGTGCCCTCACTGGATTGTGGCATTACTGGGAGCTGAAGGTAAAGCAGAGCTTCAAGTCGAACCAAACGTTGAGGCTGGTTTACAAAGTACATATTGGATTTTGAAGCACCTAAAACACATAGAAAAGGTTTTGCTAAATATAAACTGAGCTTACAGGCTCTTTGTGTATAATGTTAGACAAATAAATAGGTTTAAATGACATGCTATTGTTGCGAAAACACAGTTATTACTCTGCCTGGGCCCCATGTATATAATTTGATTGTCATTACGATACATACAGCTCTCCTACCCGAGGTTCATTATTCTTGATTAGAGTTTTCCTTGAAATGGCTACTATCTAAATGTATTGCCTGTACTACCGGTTATGGACACTGTGATAGAAAACTTTCAAAATAAGTAATGTGACACGAATATTTTTTTCTTAAATATTATAATTTTACAGGTACACATTAGAGTCTCTAAATATGTAAAAATAATATGCATGCTGGAAACTGCCATTAATGACTGCCCCTTTCTGAAAATACAAATGCCCTGGCTGTCATGGTGATCCACTGACTTGAAACCAGTATGTAGATTAGCTGCTCTTATCTGCATTCTCATTTTACATTAACGTATCAAATTATTGAGTATTTATTATTAGGCCAGAGGCAGCCAGGTGGTTAACAAATTCAGACAGAGGTTAGCAGTGGTGACCCTCGTGTTGCTCTCAGAACAGGTTACCTTTAATTAACAAGGCAGTGCAGTAAATATATGTAAAGTGTAGTAACTCATAGCAACCAATTAGAAATCATCTATTGATGAGTTCATTACTAAAATCTGAAATCCACAGTTACTAGTTCTTATATATTACTTAAATGTGAATGTTCTCAGTTCTCTTTGCTTTCTTTACTTAATAAGCCTTTAAGTGTTCATTCTGACACACAATTACATTCACGTATGTAGTATCTGAGTGCTGGGTTGAAATTCTAAAACAGAAATGGCAACATTGCAAGATTGAGGGATCTGTTAATTAATTGTTGTTGCTCTCTGCATGCTGCATGTGTTATTGTTGTAGAAATACAAATGTTCTATAGGCAATCTATGCCCAATAAGGGTTACACAACAAATGCACACCAGATCCGCAGGGATTTCTGCACATGCAGTGCAGTGGTTTTTGCCCACATTTTTGATGTGTTTTTGCCACGTTCTGGGACGTTTTTGTAAAAAAAAAAAAAAAAGATGTATTTGTTTTGTTTAAAATGGGCTTTCAGTGCGTTTGCATGCATTTTTTATGCATTTGCATGCGTCCCGGAGCGTTTCAGAGCAGGTAAAATAGGGCTTGCTGCAGTTTTTTTAACATGCTCTGGAATTGAACGCTGCGGTGTAAACTGGAGCCCAAAATACTATTGGAATACATTAAACGCAGTTTTGATGCATTCTGTAACTGTGTTCTGCTATGTACCTGCTCTGCGCTTGGTGTGAACTAGCCCTAAAACCCCTTCTGTATGTACAAAAATTGGTCACAGTAATTGCCCCACTCTGTTCATAACACAACTACCAGTTATACACACAATAGCTTCACATAAGTGTGGTGAAAGAATCAGAAGATTTATTCACCTCTGTCCATATAGCAACAAATTATCATCATCATCGCCATCAGTAATAATGACAGGACATACAGTATTTCTGAATAAAATGGTTTAGGACATGCAACGCATCTGTTTAATATCTATGTAAAAGATGAACTCCATGCAGATATAAAATGCACAAATGAATGCAGGTAAGTATTAGCTAATAAATAATTAAACCTATTTTTTAAATGTAACTAGTGTAAGTGTTAGTATCTGACTTTAACTTGGTATCCATCTCTTACAATCAACTATACAGCAGCACTTAGAATGGAAGAAGGAAGGTCAGGGCTGTGAGCAGATATGCTGAAAAAGGACTGACCTTATAATTCTCCTGCTGCTCCTTCACTGTCAAATTTGAATATTGGAGTTGAAAAGAGAACACCACTGTATCTCTTCTACAGCCTATAACTGTAAGAGTGGTAGGGGTGTAATTTGCCTGACTGTGCTCTGTAGTAGGGCTGGGTAAATCTCAGAAATTAATGGACAGAATTACAAACACTTTGGCAAGTGAATCAGCTCCCCTGTATTTTAGGGATGTTCAGATACCAGTATCTGTGTCGATACTTGGCATTTTCTCGACAACTACCAGGGTTGCAGCTGTGACTGGGCCCTGGCGCTCCACCACTGTCCTATAATCATTAATCTGTGTTGTTGTAGAAAAACTGTGACATGACAATAAAAAAAATGTATCAGTAATTGGTATCTGTGAGTACTTGCTGTGGAAAAATGGTATCGGTGCATCGGTACTGTATATATATATATACAAATCATACATTAAAACAGGAATGCATAAATCCCAGGACCCCCGTAGCCAATGCTCCTTAAAATGACAGCTGACTCCTAACTTTTGAGTTTTTCTCTAGTCTAGTCTTGGAGCTGGAAAAGTATCTCTACATGTACTTGTACCAAGTTTAGTACTTGGTATTTGTGCATCCCTACTGTATTTCATTTGTGAATGTAGCTGGTTGCTTGGTGTGCATCTTTAAATCCTTTAAATCCCTTTCACTATGCCAGAGGAGTCCTCCAAATCTTTTCTGGACTGTTCACTTCTTTCCTAGCTTCAGGTAAACACCAAGGATGGGACTCAAGTCTATGTGGACAGTTCCTCCAGGATTATGGGAGGCTCCCCTGGAACACTGAAAGAAATTTTTGAAACATCTAAAAAACGCAAAGTTTACCTTTTATACCATGTTCATGTCACACATGTCTGCCGCAATCCCACCTCCCACTTACCTGAATTGAAGGGTTCTTCTCCCTGCATGCTGCTGCTGTTTCTTTAATCTGACATGGCTGTGTGTGGTTCTGCCCACAAAGCTGTGTTATCCATTCACAGATCCTTTGACAGTATCTCTGAATGGAGAAACTACAAGTCGCATTAGCCATTGTGGCAGAGGGACTTGTAGTTCTCAGTGGCATCACTGAACCTGTACTCCAGTCCACTGACACTTCCTCCCTGCCACTTAATACCCCAGTAGAAACGAGATGAGAGGAAGAGTCTACAGCAGCAAAAGCATTACACTTGCGGTCCACTGATGAAGTATCCAAGCATGTTTGAAGCTGAGCTCTAAAAGACACAAATGATTGCACCCCTGATTCATTAATACATCATTAAGTGTATTTTTTAAATGCAAGCTGTTTAAATATGAGGTGGTATTAGCTTCTTGCAGTCCTATTAGAACAGAGCTCAGATTGGGTAGGAAAGAAGCAGCAAAAGGACTCAATCAGCTGTGCTACATGCTGATAGGAGGAGAAAGCAGATGAGCTGCTTCTCCATTCACTGTTCAGTCACATAGTAGCGGATACTCAACTGCAGTAGAGAAAAATCAAGCCTCCTTCCCCTCTAGACATCAGGGTATTCAGCTGTTTGGCTAGAGTACATTTTTAAATATATATTTCACTTTCTTGGAAACACTTCTTCACCTACAGCATTTACTAAAAACTCTTGTCGTATTTTCATTCCATAAAATATGTGATCCTGACATGAGCTTAAATGACCATTTGGAAAATAAAATAAGAACATCTGTCATTTAAGCCCCAAAGCAGTGTAATACGGCCAAAAGGTTTAAATAGAAGTGGAAGTTCTGGTAATTAAAGAAATAGTAACACACAGATGATGATTTTACTCTATCAATCATCCAATTTGCCCATTGTCTACCTTTTCAATCACACTCACAATGCAACAGGGATTTATTTCTGTCACTTACATTAAAGAATTACGATTTCTGAAATCCTGGGCTCTCCCTTTTATATGAGCTAAACAGAAAAGCTAAACAAAATCTTTGGACAATCTTTTGTAAGCAGGTTTATTTGTATCGCCAACAAATAACGCTCTTCTTTCCAGCGAGGAACATTCCCAAACACATGCTAGAAAATGCTATTATATTGAATGAAGCCAGCTGCCA